AGTACGGTTTCTAGATGGAAGGCAGACTGGCATCATGATCCTCTCTGTAGTTTTGTATTTTCTCTACAGTTTGCATAATGATTAGGGACTATGGACAAGTAAAAGTTTACAGAAGTACCTATGATGGGTTAACCCCTTAAAGCAGCCAGATGGAGTTTTATTATACTTCCATGAAAAACCTGATATATGCAGGCCTAAGTCACTTTCATAAAACACACAGTGCCGGCAAATCAATGCAATACTGTCGCCACAGTAAGTTTTATGAAAGTGCCGTGGCAGCATAGCGACGCGGGAATTTTACGGCATTCATGCCACCAAGCTTTATTATTACCACAACGCCAGACTAGTGAATGAAGATCACGCCTTGGCGCATCAAATGGTGATGTCATGATCACATGTGGAATGTTCGCCACGCTCCAACTGGCAACTAATTAAACATGTGCTGTAAGTTTCATTTTTGTAAACAGAACCAGCTGAGATGATAAACTGGAGTGATGCAGAGCTCTGTGAGCTTCTTTGTTAAAGCTGGAGCTCAGATCGACAAAAAACGTGAACATGAGGGTGATTTGCGAGGCTGTGGTCGTGCAGTTTGACCGGTTCTGCGACAGCTTAATGAGCACTCTCATGACGAAAGTCAGCCTCCAACAGTCTTCAAGCTCAGCTTGAGAACCTACAACTCCCATCTGCAATCCACCAGTGAAAACATACCCAGGGAGTGACAGGAACAACTAGTGATGGGAGTACAATAAGAGTAGATTTACAATATTAGCAAGAATAGAAGCTACACACAGCAGACCGTTTCTTTTTGGAGTTCAGTTTGGAGTCTAATAAAGGAATTATTTTTTTTCTCTTTTCAGTTTTGTTGTTTTGGGTAGCTGTCAGATATTAGTGACGTATGCTTTTGGGAGGGTGCACTCATGGCGTTAGCGTGTCCTGCTGAGACGTCATGCAGTTTGCCTCACTGAACTCTTGGGCCATAAGTGTGCCACATTTTTGGAGTCCTCATGGTAGCTGTTTTTACAAAACAATGCTGTAAATTTGCCGCAACACTGAAGCGGCATCAGGGAGGCTTAGGTCATTTATAAGTGGCGAGACAGTCAATTATCACAATACTACCACCAAGCAAGGCAAAATAGCTTATTGGTACGCACTGTTGCAGTAATATTATGCTGATTTGCTGGCACGGTGTGTCTTGTAAAAAGGTGACGTGAGCAGTCCTGTGTTACAGCCTAAACACACCCAGAGTGGTCTGGTAGCGTGTTTTTCTTTAGTTTTATCTTTACATTTCCAGCACATTGGCTCAATTTGTCACGCCGCTGCGCCAAGAGCGTCCGTGCTCACACTGCTTGGCTGTAGCGAACCCAGCCAGACAATGGTGAAGCGTACTGATGTTTCTCAAGGTATTTTTATTTATGTTTAGCTGGCATCCTTATTTTGAACATAAATCCACCTTTTCTTTCTTGAAACACCGTAAGAGCTAAATAAAACAGATAAATGAAATTATAATGAGCTCTTACAAAGATGACCTTTATGCCATATAACCATTCACAATATTATTGAATCTACATTAATAGTAGGTTGAGTGAGATCAAAAATGTGCATAAACATGTTAAAAGCTAAAACCAATATTAAAACTAAGTCCAAGCATGTGAACCACACAAAGGCTACTATTAGCATGGGTGTTCACCTGGCTCTACGGTTGAGATGGCTGTTACCATTGTTCTGCATTTAACCACTTTAAACACAACAACATACATAGAAAATCACATCAATCCACATAAAACACATGCATCAAACAATACCTTGTTCCCAATTCCAGCTAGGCGGTTAATTGTCAAAAGGTAGGGTATAGAGGCCCAGTCCGGTCTGTTTGGTCTTACAGCATGCTGTCAGTTTCCAAGCAAAAGTCAACTGGCCTTCTCTGCTCTCCCTTATTTCCTCTGCTGGTCCGCTAGTTGACTATCCAGTTCAAGTCGGACGGCCACCGCTCAACCTGTTCCATCATCACGGCTCATCACTCATGCCTGGCGATTCCAGAGCTCCCACGCTCTTCAGCATCATCTTCAACATCCTACAGTAAACCCGTTCTCTTTACTTTCTGGAACGTCACCACGTCCTTGTTTCCCTTCAAGACATTGCCGGCATTCCTAAATCAACTGCGTGTTAGACGTCACCTATCTCTAGCACTTCCAATGTTTGGGTCTTTTCACACGCTACAGCCCTCCTCACTGCTCACAATGTTGAGCCAAGGTGAGGAGCCCAACACCCTAACTCTGCTCCTGATACACTCCCAAAAATTGGCATAATTCAGTAGGTTAGTTTGACTTGGTTTGTATGGAAAAAGCTTAGAAAAGGTTATAAATAACATTTTGACTAATCCCAAGCCTGGCCCCACCCACCTGGTGACATGGTTCATTTCTATTGGATCACTACAAGGAAGCACGTGGCTGTATGACATGTCCCATTCTATATGAAAAGTTGTCAATATCATTTGGCTGTTGTAGCTAACCTGAAGTTAGAGAAAACAATGCCGACCTCATTAAAGTGGATATGTGTCACCTTACTCATATCTTACGTAGACGATATGAGACCAAAATGTAGGAATGACTTTAGACTCTTGTTATTGTTTCGACTTTGAAAAAAGACAAAAGAAATCCAGAGAGGGTGGGGGTTGGTGTAAGGGTCAATTTGCAGGTGAAATAAATGGCACACTCTGAATTGTAGCTATTGTCCTGCTCTCCAGCCAGATGGCCTCTTTAGAGCCTTTAGAGCTGCAACCCAAGTACAACAGGAGAGAACACACTTATCTCGGATTAGACTCTCTAAAAGCCTAATTTGAAAATTACATTTGTTGTTAATGGATATAATTTTAAGCCTGACAGCACATTTCCTACTACTGTGACTATAAAATATCTCATAATACAACCCAGAAAATGTAATTACTGTAAAACAAATTTCTTTTTTGGGGGTTACTAAATTTACAGCTCCAATTGAATTTTCTATCCCTTCAGAAGCACTTATTAACTCACTCATCTGTGGCTGACTTGCAAGAGTTTCATAAGCCTCCAGTTTTACTGAGGAAACAAACCAAGTGTCATTGTTTGGGGAACCCACGACATGCAGAATCACAAACCCGTACACAGATAGATAAATAATATATTTTATTATAAAAGGGGTAACTGAAGGCACACTGGGAGGTCCAGTTGGATGGGGAATGGGAGTGCAGCATCTAGTGGAGGAGAGCAAACACAGGTGAGTCTAGGGAAGCAAGTCTTAACTAGGAAGGTGCAGAGAAAAGACTTACTGGGGGTGCGGGAAAAGCTCTGGAATGAGGGGGGAGGTTGTGAGCCGGGTTATCTCCAAGTGGAGGAGTCCAGGAGAGGGAGCGTGAGGTGAGTAGGAGAGCAGGTCGGTCAGGTTGAATGGAGAATGTGCCTGAGTGAGGTCCAGAAATCATATGGAGCACAAGTGTGGTGCCCTGAGGTGTCGAGAGAACCTGGAGGTGAGTAGCCAAAAATATCAAAAGTCACGAGAGTGTTCACAAGAACACTAGTGTCTCAAAAAGTCCTAGAAAACCACGACGAAGGCTGGAAACTACCAAGCTGTAGCAATCATCCGGCGTCGAGCTGTGTTCTCCATCCACCTTATGTAGGAGACCCGCTGATTGCAGACCAGGTGCAGCTGGAACACTCCCTCTCCCGCAAAAAACACAACTCAAGGTGAAAAGTTGAGAGAAGTACTCACCCCGGCTCATGACACCAAGTTTCACTAAGCATTAAAACTATATATAAAAAACACTTGTAGCTATAAATAAAATAACTGTTTTAAAATTCAGACAGAAGGGGAAATATGAATGTTCAAAAGGAGATAACTAAAGAGTTAATGTTTTTATTCTGGGAGATAACATAGTCAAGGTACAGGTATTTGTTTGTTTGTTTTTTTATTACTTATTTTTTTAAATAAGGAAAGATAACAAAATGATTTTAAAAAATCACAAAAAGAGAACAAAACGTCGACTTGTTTTACTCAGATTTCCACTATTATGAGGACAGAAATAAAATTGATAGTAGTAAAAAACGTCAAAAATAATACAAAAATAAGTGTAACTACCAGCATACTTTACAAATAAATAATATTAATGATATTCCCCATAAATATAAAATATTTCATGTGTGTGGTGAAATTAAAAAATGCAAATATTTCATATCACTTTTTACTACAAATATTACACTAAAATTTTGATCATAATAAATAATGTGATCAAGATGAAATGATCACCTTTGACTTTCTGAACTAAATTCCTTTAACATTTTTTTTTCACATTTCTAATTAATCCGGTTTAGATTTCAGGTAAATGAAGATTTTTTTTTCATCTAAGCGTGTGTGTTTTACATTAAAGCTGCTGATAATTTTGCTTTGAAATCAATAATTGTTGCAACGACGTGGGGAACTCAGTTTTTGTCACAAACATTCTGCTGTGACAACTGCAGCACATTGTTATTTTCTGTTGTCACTTTTTACTCACACTCAGTGTTGTTGAGAGGAAAAACCTCAGAAGCTATTATTGTTCTACAAGTGAAAAGAGGCTTTGATGGATTCAGGATGATCAGAAAATAAATTAAATGGATTAATGTTTTGTGTCTGCGAGCTATCAGAAATGTGTTGTGTGGAAAAATACTGCAAGCCGTATTTCGGTGGAAGGAAATGCAATTATCAGAAAATCTGGAGCATCTGCAGTGATTACACGGTTTATTAAAATCCCAATAACATTTAATTTAAACCCACAAGAAAAGTAGTTTAATCACAGAAAATGGAAAACATGGACAAAGATGAACCAAATGGATTGTTCTTTAAATAAATGTGTCTATAAATAAAATAAATATAAAAATAAATACACAAACAAATAGAAAAATAGGATGAGTTAAAATAAAATTAATATTTCATCCAGATTGATGCTCTTTACTGTAAAATAATTTTCAAAAAGTCAGTTTTCCAGTGCATCTCTATCTTATAGTTTAGCACTGAGCTGCTTCTGTGGAAGTCGTTTGGATGTTTGGAGTTGTATCTTGAATCCGATTGATCGTTTTGCAAAGACATCTGACAAGAATGCAAAGAAAAACAATGTTAGTCCTAATTTCAACCGGAAACTAAATATAAGCTCCAAATAAACTTGATTTTTACCTGTAATTTGTGCAATTAGCTCTGTGTTTGGTGGCTGTGTTGCAGAACAGCTGTTTTGTCTGTTCTAGCCTTCCTTCAGTGAGACTTGTGGGTTTGTTAGAGATGCTGGAGCAGTTCTCTTGGTTTTTGCAGATATGTTTCTCTTCGTTGCTCAAACTTTCGTCCTCCTCTGTCCTTGGACGGCCTGCTGAGATTCTCAGCTGTTTGGACTCCTGGTAGAAAGACACAGTGCAGGCAGAGGACATTTCTTCCCACTGAAACCTGCCATGCAGCGGAGCATTAGACTGAAAACTGAAGTTCCAGCGTCGGGTGTCCTGCTCAGACATCTCCTTTAGATGCAGCTGGAAGTCCAGACGCAGCTGGTCGTGGTCCACCGGGCCAAACAGACTCCTGCAAACAGGCTCTCTGCTTTGGTTGTTCATCATTAAAACAGTTCTGAGGGAGTTTGGATGGGAAACTGTGTCAGCTGAGGAGATATTTTTTTGGTCCACTCATGCAGCGGAGCTGGGGGATTTAAAAGCAATGGGGATGTTTTGTTAGTACACAATAGCCAGATGATTCTGATTGGCTGCAGCTGTTTGAAATGGGATCCATGTGCAGGTGGTGGGGAGTGTGGGCTCTGGATCATTTAGTAAAAAAAAAGGGCCTGACTTCTACGGAGTAGAATTACCATGACAATGACATCTTTTGTATGAGATCACCGTGTGCGTTTACATGCAGCCAGTAACCCTTTTAAACCCGAATATTCACAATAACCCAGTTCCGCACGGCCATGTAAACACCGCCAAAAACCCGGATTTGCTCATAACCGGGTTTTTAAAAACCCGGTTACTACACCTGGGGTAACCCTTTTCTAACCCGAATGTTTGGTCGTGTAAACGCATACCGGGATATCCCCATCAAAGCGTGTGTTCTGCACATGCTCTGTTTGCAAGGAATCTTGGTCTTTTGAGTAGCGAGACGTCTTGTATGCACCAGAACACCGGAAGTAAACAACAAGTTGGGAGCAACATGGCGAGTCGCGGCACAGCACCACACTTTTGGAGTGACGAGGAAACTAAAGCGCAAACAAACGCGGTCGCTATCTCTTCCGAACTGGGAAACATGTTGTTGTTTTCACAGATACCGGAACAAGAAGAACCGGAAATGATGCATATTGCATCTGGACGTAGTCCATACGTCCTGACGCCACCCCAACGTCCGCATTTAAATCGGGTTATGCAAGTTAGGGGTAACTCTTTCTATTTATGCTTGTAAACGGGTTATTCTGATCAACTCAGAAACCCGAATTCCGACCTTAACCCGATCATAACCCGGATATTGGCTGCATGTGAACGTAGTCAGTGTGTGCATGGGCTGAATGCTTAAGTCTTTTGATGTTGGCTTCTGTTAAAAGGTTATGAACATGTCTTACCTGTTGTAGATAGGCTTTTTAAACCCTAGAACTCTAGCATCAGGTGATTTTCACCCACACAATTCTTGTCATGTGTTACAGCTGTTGCTGTTTACCTCAGAAAACAGACACTGCAGAGGACAATCAGTGCTTTGCCTCCTCCTACCTGCACAGCTGCACTCACTTGGGCTGATCACCTCCTGAACAGCATAAAAGGGAGAGCTGCCAGGTGCAAGGGAGAGACAGGATCTGTGCCAGTTCTCTCATGTGCTCCATTTATTGGTGTTTTAATGGCTTTTAAATGGGTTTTTAGTTCTTTAAGCTTAGAGAAGCTTAAGAGCTTTTAAAGATTTTTAACAGACGAGGGACCAGAGTGCTGGTTACCTCTTGGCTCCCAAACTTGTGTTTAAGTCAGTGGACTTTGTTTTGTGAATATTTGGGAGCATTTGGATGTCTGTTTTAAACTTAAACCCTTGGCCATTTTAACAATGTGTTAAGAACTTTTAGATTTGGAGCTTTTTGTCATTTTAAAATCCTTTTAATAAAATTAATGTTTACAATTTCCACAACTGAAACACATGCCTCTGTGTTACTCCCTGTCCTTCTCCATTTCCACCAATAGAAGACGTAACACATGCGATTTCCATTGTGCTGCTGCTCTCTTGAGTTGCATGGGTACTAAGGTAGCTTCAGGCTGCTCACTAATTCACTCCTTGTTGGCATCCCTGTTTCGGCTCTAAACCTGCTCAGACTGTGCAGAACGCTGCAGCTAGGTTTCCAAAAATCACTAGCAGATGCAGTCATGTCATTTTAGCACATCTCCATACCAGTGGGTTTCAGGGTGATATTTAAGAGCCTACTGTTTGTTTTTAAAGAAACGATAAATGACCCACACTTGTAAATCGCCATTCTGAGTCAAAGGACTCCAAAGCGCTTTAAGCCGGGCGTACACTGTGCGACTTTTTCACTTTTTTGAGCCGATTTTCCAGTCGTGCGAGAATCCACGACATCGGGGCGAGTTTTGCGCCGAGCGGTCGTGTAGTGTACAGGGGGTTACGAGAGGCGATTAACACCACGTGACCAGCCGCCGATCAGCAGTCGTGAGGTCGCACGGACTTCTGGTGTGTTTAATATTTTGCTCGTCCCTCGTGAGGGTATCGCACTGTTGAAGCAGCGCTGCGAGCAGCTGCGAGCAGCTACAATCCAAAAAGTATCAGAACCGCTCACGGCGCATGCGCGCGCAATCCTGCATCAACGCCGGTCGCTCGCTATTTCCCTAATAACACACGCTGTTCGTTTTTGTTTCTACACGTTTTTTTTACTCACAAAGATTGTCAAGAAAGCGTGTTTGTCGTGTTCGTGTCAAATTAAACTGATCACAAAACACAGATTTACTTTCTTTATTTCGTTTTCCTCATCCAACCCCCATAAATCCCTGTGTGTCCTCCTGCAGCACTCCCGAAGGACAACAGGCAAGACACGACAAAAAAGTCTGATGTGTTGAGTAAAAACGGCTATTTTTAGCATATTTTCAGGGCCGACGTGTTGCTACCAGACGTACAGTGTGAGCAGTCAGGTCGCATGCGAGAACTGGGTCATACAGTGTGAGCACATGACTCGTGAGATCTGCTCTGCGAGGAAGTCGTACAGTTTGAGCTGAAGCTGAATGCTGCGAGTGAAAAAGTCGCACAGTGTACGCCCGGCTTTACACAACTCTGTATCATTTACCCATTCACACACACATTTACACACTGGTGGGGATGAGCTACAATGTAGCCACAGCTGCCCTGGGGTGCATTGACAGAGGAGAGGCTTCCAAGCACTGGCACCATCTGTCCCTCTGACAACCAGGAAGTATGAATATCTTGCCCAAAGGCACAAGAGCAAAATTCTCTGTTGGCAGCCTGGATTGAACCTGCAACCTTCCAATTACTGGACAACCTGCCCTACCTCCTGACGACCTCATCACACCATACGAGCTGGTCCAAGCTCTTTGGTCAGCTGACCGCTTGTTGCTGTATTCCCAAAATGAACTAGAAAACACATGGGAACAGGCCTTTGTGCATGCCGCCCCAGCCCTTTGGAATGCATCATACATGGCAGTCTTCAAGGCCTGACTGAAAACTCACTTTTATGACTTGGCTTTTGGACCATGACTTCCTTTCCATGTGTGTTTTTAAACTTTTCATTTCTTTCAATGTTTTTAATTGCTATTTAAAATGCTAAATGTGCTTCATTGTTTAAACTGCCTTTGCTGGCTTTCATCTGTTTTGCATGGTTTTTATGTAAGTGTTGTCTGTGCAGCGCTTTGTTCAGCCCGAATGCTGTTTGTAAATGTGCCTTATAAATAAATCAGTATGGTAGGGTATGATGACCATCCATCCATTGTCTGAACCCGCTTTGTCCACGTAGGGTCACGGGAAGGGTGGGGGTGGGGGGGGACGGGGGAGGGATGGTGCCGACCTCACTGAGAGAGGAAGAGAATTCCAGAGGGACGGAGCAGCATAGACAAAAGCATGCTGCCCCCGCGTTAGTATTTCATGGTGAAAGCGGAAGCAGTAAGCAATCGGCAGATCTCAATGCTCGGTTTGCCACATAATGACTCACAAGATCAGACAGGTAATCCCATGCCAGTCCATTTAGGGCCTTAAAAACAAATATCAGAATCTTAAACTTTACTTGGAAGTTTACAGGTAGCCAATGGAGGTGCGCCAGTACAGGTGTGATATGGTCACAGCCAAATCAGAAAGTGAGTGTTTGATTTTGTTAGGAGCCACGAGGAGTGCCTCAGACTTGGAGTCATTCAGCTTCAGAAATTTGTCAGCGAACCAGTCCCTCACTTCAGCCAAACATTCGTCCAGAAGAGAGAGAGCACCTGGTTTGTTCAAAGCCAGGTAGATCTGGCAATCATCTGCACAGAGATAGTAGCTTAGGCCAGAGATCCTCAGGATAGAACCCAGAGGGAG